ACAGGCGCCCGCCACAACGCCCGGCTATTTTTTGGTTGCAGCTGTCATTGTTGTTTGGGCGGGTCCAGGCTGGGGATTCGAACCCACCACCTTAGGTGTACATGGCTGGCGCCTTAGCCGGTTGAGCTATAGGCGCAGAGCCCAATTCTCCTTTTCTTCAGGTGAGCCCATAGCCTGCCATGGGCACGTTTTGTATCATGTGATAATACACATGTGAACAAGGTGCACTCTGTTATCACACCTAAAATCATCAGCTGAGCTCTCAAACACTGGCCTGTGATCTCATCTCAAATATAGCAGTACATTTAGATGACATAAAAACAAAAGTTTAGGCTGGATATGGTACTCATACCTGTAATCTTAGTGCTTTGCAATGCAAAGGTAGAATTGCCTGAGTTTATTTATTTATTAATTTTTAGACAGAGTCTCACTATATGGCCCTTGGTAGAATGCCATGGCATCATAGCTCACAGCAACCTCAAACTCTTGGACTTAATCGATTCTCTTTCCTCAGCCTCCCAAGTAGCTGGGACTACAGGTGCCTGCCACTACGCCCGGCTGTTTTTTTGTTGCAGTTGTCATTGTTGTTTAGCTGGGCTAAGTTCAAACCTCCTGCCATCCTCAGTGTATGTGGTGGGTGCCGAGGCCCCTCTCCCCCTTTTTTTTGAGACAGTCTTATTCTGTTGCCCTGGCATCATAGCTTGAAGCAATCTCAAACTCTTGGGCTCAAGCGATTCTCTTGCCTCAGCCTCCCTAGTAACCAGGACTATAGGTGCCTGCTACTACACCTGGCTAGTTTCCCTTCTTTTTATTTTGTAGAGACAGTGTCTCACTTTATCACCTTCGGTAGAGTGCCATGGCATCACACAGCTCACAGCAACCTCCAACTCCTGGGTTTAGGCAATTCTTTTGCCTCAGCCTCCTGAGTAGCTGGGACTATGGGCACCCGCCGTAACACCTCGCTATTTTTTTTTGCAGTTTGGCCTGGGCCGGGTTTGAACCCACCACCCTTGGTATGGGGCCAGCGCTCTACTCACTGAGCCACAGGCACCACCCCTGGCTAGTTTTTCTATTTTTAATAGAGTTGAGCTTATTCTCTTGTTTAGGCTAGGCTTGAACTCCTGAGTTCAAGCAGACCACCTGCCTTGACCTCCCAGAGTGCTAGGATTATAGGTATGAGCCACTAACTCTGGTTACAGTTTCCTTTTGTTGAGCACATTCCCAGAGTGATTGTATTTCTTTTTTCTCCTTTTAGGAACAAAAAGTTACCCTTTTATTTGTACTGCCTTCATCCACACGAGTGCCCCTTTGGCTAAAGAAGATTATTACCAGGTCTTAGGAGTGCCCCGAAATGCCAGCCAGAAAGAAATAAAGAAAGCCTATTACCAGGTCTGTATGGAAGTCAGATTTTAGTGACAAGGTTGTAGAAGAAATGCTGTTGGTCTTCTATGATCATCCTCGGTACGGTGTATGTACCATACGGATAGGTTGTGTGCAGCTGATCTGATAAAGATGGACTTGGCTGGCTTGTATGGTTCAGTGCACCATGCCATAGCAGTTATGCCTCAGAAAAAATGAGATTCCAAACCAGAGATTTTAAAGTTTTTTTTTCCAGAGTGGTTTTGTAACTCCATATTTTGCCATGTATAATATGTACTTTTTTTTTTTTTTTTTTTTTTTTTTGGGAAAAAACCTCAAGCTGTCCCCCTGGGTAGAGTGCCCTGGCCTCACAGCTGACAGCAGCCTCCAACTCCTGAGGTCAAGCGAGTCTCCTGCCTCAGCCTCCCAAGTAGCTGGGACTACAGGCGCCCGCCACAACGCCTGGCTATTTTTTGGATGCAGCTGTCGTTGTTTGGCGGGCCTGGGCTGGATTTGAACCGGCCACCTTAGGTGTATGTGGCTGGCACCTTAGCCACTTGAGCCACAGGTGCTGAGCCAATATGTACTTTTTTCTTCAAATTTTTGAGGGAAAAGTAATAATATGCATTACACACGGGTATGCTAGTTCCATGTCTATATACATATTTTAATTTATGCTTATGCATTAAAAGTATAACTCTAGAAAGTAATCACATCCGTATGCAAAATAATAATCTGAAATATGGTAATTGGTTTTGTCAAGCTTACCAGAAATTTACAACAAAAGCATTTTTAACCAACAAAGAATGACACGTTTCTGTTCATCCACCTGAGGTAAAAGCTAGCAATCTAGCTAATTATTTTTGCAAAAATTATTACAGAATCTCTTGGAAAATTCAAAATGCTTTGGTATACTACAAATTTTAAACTAACAGTTATTACATATTTTAAAGACCATGGCAACAGAGCTGCCAAGAGATACTTTTGACTTCCTCCCATAGAGGATATCATCAGATTATGGAGGCAGTGAGCACAAAAGCTTCTTCAGATGCCAAGACAAAAGAAGGCAAGGGAACTCTCCAGCCATCTTGGAGGTGGGAGTAGGAGGTGAAGACCTGGATTCTGGAGCAGTGTCAAAGTGGGATCTGTTTTGACTGAGATGATCCAAGAAGAGGGTAAAAGGATTGTACAAGAAAAAAATATTGATTATTTCTTAGGGATACCTATATGCTGCTTTACCTTTATGAAGAGAAGAGTTCCGAGCATGATGACATGAATAAAACTTACCCTCAACTTTTAGCAGCCTATGAGAATCAAGTTACAGCGTTTCATTCTTATGTTCTTATGTATTCAATTTTTTTTTTTTTTTTTTTTTTGAGACAGAGCCTCAAGCTGTCCCCCTGGGTAGAATGCTGTGGCATCATAGCTCACAGCAACCTCCAACTCCTGGGCTCGAGTGAGTGTCCTGCCTCCGCCTCCCAAGTAGCTGGGACCACAGGTGTCCACCACAATGCCTGGCTATTTTTTGGTTGGGTTGGCCGGGTTGGATTCGAACCCGCCACCTTAGGTGTATGTGGCTGGTGCCCTAGCTGCTTGAGCTACAGGTGCCGAGCCTTAGTTTGTCTTTTTAATATTTAAAACTATGTTTTAATAGGTAATACATTCCCTTTGTTCAGAATTCAGAAGTACGAAGGAGCATAGAGTATAAAGTCTCCCTGTTTCCCATTCACCCACATCCCTTCTGTAACAATCAGTGTTACCAATTTATTGTATGTCCTTCCAAAAATAATTTATATAGCAGAGACATCTATTTACCTATGCAGTCATTTTCTCACCTTTGACATCAGTGTTAGTATACCAGACGTACTGTTTGGCACCTTGCTTTCACAAAGATGCCCAAGTTCTTTTTTTTTTTTTTTGTAGTTTTTGGCCAGGGCTGGGCTTGAACCCACCACCTCTGGCATATGGGGCTGGTGCCCTGCCCTTGAGCCACAGGTGCCACCCCTAGATGCCCAAGTTCTAAAGGATTAGTCATTATTGTTTATTTGTTTATTTTTTTGCAGTTTTTTGCCAGGGCAGGGTTTGAACCTGCCAACTCTGGCGTATGGGGCTAGCGCCCTACTCCTTTGAGCCACAGGCACCGCCCTATTTATTTATTTTTTAGAAATAGAGTCTCACCCTGTCGCCCAGGCTAGTGTGCAGTGTCATAGTTTACCACAGCCTCGAACCCCTGGGCTCAAGCAATCTTTCCTGCTTCAGCCTTCTAAAGCACTAGGATCACAGGCATGAGCCACCATGTCTAGCCTAGTCATTATTTTTGGTAGAGACTTGTGATTGAAAAGTTGAAAATGGGCTGGGCGCGGTAGCTCATGCCTGTAATCTTAGTACTTGGAAGGTCCAGGCAGGAGGATTGCCTGAGCTCACAAGTTTGAGACCAGCCTGAGCGAGAGTGAGACCCCGTCTCTAAAAAAAAAAAATAGCTGGGCATTGTGGCGGGTACCCCCAGCTGCTTGGGAGGCTAAGGCAAGAGGATCACGCGAGCCCAAGTGTTTAAGGTTGCTGTGAGCTGTGATGCCCTGGCACTCTACTGAGGGTGATCAAATGAGATTCTAGTCTCAAAAAAGGAAAAAAAAAAGAAAAGTTGAAAAATGTGTACATACATCAGATTTGATGAAATAATTTATGTCAAAGTCTTAAATTGTTGTGATTGCTGTTGGTTGCTAAGTCTTTTTTTTTTTTTTTTTTTTTTTTTTTTGAGACAGAGCCTCAAGCTGTCCCCCTGGGTAGAGTGCCATGGCATTATAGCTCACAGCAACCTCC